ACGAAGGCAAAATCTGGAGTTGACAACAGATGAGCAAGCCCAGAACAACATTGGGCATAGGACCAGAAGGACTGTCCCAATTTCAAGAGAAACTGAACGTATTCGTGATAGACTTGCGAGAACGGAAAGACGCTTAAACCCTATTACAAGACGCCGGGAGCAACTAAGAAATACTTCCCAAAAGAGAATTATTCGACAGCAAAGTTTGAGACGAGAGGAAACTCTTAGGCAAAACGCACTTGAACAAGTCCAGCTTCACAGATGTAATCCAGAAAATCGAAGAAGAGAAAACGAGAGGGAGCGTTTGAGGATTGCAGCGAACCGAGAAAATCTGTCTCCAGAAGCACTAGAAGAAGCTCGTAATACTCAGCACCAATTACGGTACTTGGCGCAATATGCGCAATATGAAGCCAAAATAAAAGAAGGGCCTACTATGGCGTGCGTGTGTTGTGGTGGAACTTGGTTTCCCCACCAAACCAAAAAATTGAAAAAGTGTAACATTGCAACAAAGCACTCAACTCTCGGGTTAACACAATATTTTACTTAGAAAATGAATTTCCGAGCTTATCGGAAAAGTTCACATTTTGTCTGACATGTTACCGTCAAACAATGTCAGGGAAAATTCCAAATATATGTCTTGCGAATGGACTGCAGTTTGCAGACATACCAGATGCCTTGAAAAATTTAACATGCCTGGAAGAACGCCTCATATATCCCAGGATTCCAGTCATGAGAATGGTATCTCTTGGATACGAACGCCAATGTTCTATTAGAGGAGCAGTTGTAAATGTGCCTATATCAGTGGTCGAGACAGTGACCGCTCTTCCTGGCAGATTTGAAGACACTCACGTTGTTCAAGTTCTTCTGAAACGTCGCTTGGAGTATAATCATAGTTTTATAACGGAAACTATAAGGCTCGAAAGTAATAGCAGCATTACAGTGCCTTATGACAACGGAACTACCGCTTGCACAATATTCAGGCATCTGGAGGATGGTTGGCAGACGTTCGGAACCATGAGTCAGTGCCTTTTATCGCCGATCCGGAAAATGAGCATATCTTCAGAGATTTGCAGATGCGCCATGAGGTAAATGTTGGAATTGAGCTAATCGGAGAAGATGAGATAAATCCAGGTGCTCAGAAAACACTTTTGGATAACGAGCTCATCGAAAACCTTCCATTAGAGCGAGTAGCAATTGCCCCTGGAGAGGGCCGAATTCCTATCGATATAACAAGAGATGACGATGCTGAGGAATTGTCTTTTCCAACAATTTTTTGTGGCAAAAAAGGCGAACGACGCTTAACTACAGCAAAATAGTGAGGTCAGAAGTTCGCAGATATGACCGACGATAATTTGCTCTGGAAATATAAATATTATGAGTTGCAGCGCATTAAAGATGCAATTTCTATTTGTTTGCGGAAAAAATCTGGAGCCTCCAACATCACCGCAGCAAATATGGTCGATACGAATTTTATTAGCAACTTAGTCCAACATGACGAGGGATACCACATCCTAAAGGGTCTCAGATCATCCCCTGCTCACTGGGAGGCAGAGAAAAAGAAGGTTTTAGCGATGATTCGTCAATTTGGGTTGCCATCGTTATTTATCACCCTGTCGGCTGCAGAGACAAAATGGACTGAATTGTTGGTTATTCTAACAAAACTTGTGGACAAAATGGATATTTCCGAAACTGAGGCAGCACAACTATCAAATTCAGAGAAGGCTCGGCTTATATGGACAGATCCTGTAACCTGTTCACTGTACTTCGATTATCGTTTCCGACAAATGGTTAAGCTACTCAAAGATAAAATATTTGAGCCAAATGTGCTTATTCATTATTACTGTAGGATTGAGTTCCAACACAGAGGTAGTCCTCACTGTCATGGAATGTACTGGATAAGTAACGCACCTAGTCTGGAGACAGAAGGTGTTATAAATATTGACCCCATTGTGGAATTTGTCGACCAAGTTATAACAACAGATGGAAGCAATCCAGAGGTGCAGCAATTTATTGACTACCAAAGACATAGTCATGGTCGTGCTTGCTTGAGAGATATAAGAGGTCAGCAAGTCTGTCGTTTCAACATGCCTTACCCACCAATGCCCCGAACTGAGGTATTATTACCTCTGAACGAAAACGAAGTAAGCGAACAACACCTGGCTCTGTTGCAAAAAATTAAAAATGTTTTAAGCCAACAGAATGATAATATGGAAGCAGAGAACTTCAACAACTTTGAGGAATTCTTAATGCATCCAGACATTTCCACAACTTATGAGAATTACAAATTAGCGCTGCGTTCCAGTTTAAAGAAGCCTCAAATATTTCTACGAAGGAAATTTTCAGATAGACTGCTTAACGCATATAACAGCGACATTTTGCGTTTGCATAGAGTAAATATGGACATTCAGTTCATACTTGACGCCTATGCATGCTGCAGCTACATAATAAATTATATCAACAAATCTAATAGAGGGGTATCTCAGCTGTTACGACAAGCCATGGATAAAATAAATGACGGAAATTTCACAATTAAGCAAAAATTACAACACATAGGCAATAAATTTGTTAACGGATCGGAGGTGTCCGCCCAAGAAGCATCCTATAATATTTTGGGCCTTCATCTTTCAGAAGCCAGCGAAGGAGAAATTTTTATTAATAGGTCACACCCAGACAAAAGAGTCAGAATGGTGAAGCCGAAAAGTGATCTAGAAAGGCTTCCTGCTGATTCAACTGATATTTATGTACCGAACTTGCTGGATCATTATATTCAAAGGCCAAGTCGGCTAGGGCAACTCTGTCTTGCTGAGTTTGCTGCATTGTACCGATTTTCAAAAACAAGAACAGTGTCGACACTTGAAAACGAGGAAAATGAAGAAGTCGAACCAGTTGATGAAAATTCTGAAGCAAACGAGCTCCGGCTTCAATTAAATGATAGGAGCGGTTTCATCTGGAAGAGAAAGCGCCCTCTTATATTAAGGTGGAGACGTTTTAGTGTTGAATTTTCTCGATCAGACTACTTTCGGGAAATGGCTATGCTATTTTATCCCTGGCGTAGCGCAGCAGCTGATTTAATCGATGCTGACATAGAACGAGTTTGTAATGACAACAAATCAATTATTGAAGAGAACAAGCAGAAATACGACAAGTTCTCAGACCGTGAGCTCAAAAATATTTTGGAGAACTTAAATCAGCAAACAGCAGAGGAAGATGTTCAGGTTGATGTTACCCCTTTCTTGGATGAAGAGTTTAGAGCACTAGCTATTCCAGAAATCGGCAATGATGTCGACGTATTTCAAATCGATGAGCCACAGGACCCAAATTTGGAGGAGGTCAGGCTCATAAGACTACCTATACTTATTCAAGAATATGAGCTGCACTCAATTGTGCGCTCCTTGAACAGAAAACAGCGGGAATATTTTTATCATGTTCACCATAACATGAAGTTGAAGAGACACTTTTACGAATACGTCGGAGGCGGAGCTGGAGTAGGAAAAGCCGATTAATTTCCGCTTTATAACAGTCACTGACAACACGAGCAAACAGCTTATCCGGCAGTAATCCCGAAACAATTAGTCTTATTGTGTGCTTGTGGAAAAGCTGCATTTGGAATTGGGGGCGTTACTTTGCACTCGATTTTTTCCTTACCGATAAACCAATCCTCAACTGAATTACGACCTCTCAGCAATGATAGTGTTAATTCTATCTATTCAAACCTAATAGACCTTCAGTTAATAATAGTGGATGAAATTTCAATGGTCGGTGCCAAAATATTTGGATATTTAAAAACAAGTATTTCGCTCTAGCGAGTATTTTGGAGGTATACCATTAATTGTTTTTGGCGACTTAAAGCAACTCTCGCCAGTAGGAGACAGATGGATTTTCTCCCCAAACCAATTGGATCCATATAGCGGAATTACTGGCACACCACTTTGGGATTTGTTCCGTTTATTCGAACTCACCGAAATAATGCGCCAAAGAGAAGATCAGACATTTGCCGTTGCTCTCAACAACATGTCCGAAGGAAATATGACATCTGATGATATCGAGCTCATTAAAGCAAGAGAACCCAATTTTAACGAGATACCCAACGACTGTATTCATCTTTTTTGTTCCAACGCGGATGTATCTCTATATAATACTGCAAGATTGGCTAAAATCGCCACAGAAGAGTTTATCTCTACAGCGAAAGACAGTATGAAGGCGAACTCTCTTTCGGAGCGAAGTAAAACGGTTATATTGGATGCCATTAAGAATTTTAAAATATCGGAGACACAAGGAATGTGCTACGGTTTACAACTGAAAACCTCAGCAAAATACATGTTTACGGTCAACATTAATACTGAGGATGGTTTGGTAAATGGAGCTACAGGCCGACTAATGCAAATTGACCATCGAGGCCCCGAACGGACACCAGTAATTCTTTGGATGCACTTTTCCGAGCCAGGAATTGGAGTAATAGCACGTTCCAAAAAGCATCACCCCCACGAATCGAGCTGGACACCAATTGAGTAGTGCGCACCTTCCAATATAGAAGAAACGAGCAAGTCTCGATAGAATGAAGGCAGTTCCCTATAATACCAGCAGAGGCAATAACAATACACAAAAGCCAAGGAGCAACTTACAGATTGGTTGATATTCATACTAAGAAGGGAATGAGCCGATCAGCTTTGTACGTCGGATGCAGTAGAGCAACAAGTGATTCAGGACTATTTATTGTAGGTAATTTTATTCCACCTAGACGTTTTGGAGGCAATGAAGTAGTCCAAGCACAGCTGAATATACTTCGGACATTTAAAAAATATATTATTATATTTAAATATCAAAACCAGACTTGGCAATCGCTGTAGTATCCAGAAATCCATCTTTTTCATTACCAGCATTTAGAAGAATATTGGAAGAAGATATAAAGGAGCTGAGTAATAGAAATAATGGAGAATTAATAGTTGTTGGAGACTTTAATGTCTGTCGCATTACGTCAAATGATGTTTTTGGAACGCGCTTGAGCCAACTAGGATTGCATTCCTTACTGGAACATCTTCCTACTACAAAGCAACAAACCGCGATTGATTGGTTATTGGCAAGTTTTTCTGCAGACAGAACAAGGGCGATAACATATGAAACCTCATTCAGCGATCATGACGGGATATTTTTTATTGTTGGCGATTAATGTTATTATATTTTCACATGTACCACATACGTTTGTATTTACACACTTTGTTGTAGAACACCTTAATTTACTTTATCATAAGTTTTTTTGTTTTATTTAATGTATTTGAAATTTAAAAGTAGTAGATAAAAATTAAATAAAGAATAAAATAACAAGTAAGAAAGTCTAAGTTCGGGTGGAGCCGAACATTAAAAACCCGGCGCAAGTATTAAATATATGTTTTTCACCTTTCCGACAGCTACCGCTAGATGGTAAGCCGGGGTGTATCAATTTTGAGCAAATTAGCGTCCTTAAATTTCGAAATATTGCAGTTTAAAGCATTTCTGAAAATTACCGCTGTATGAAAAGCGGCTGTAAGTTTAGTCCGATTTCAATAATTTTCAAAATTTTGCTTTTATGTGGCAAGCACAATAACCATCCCGAGTTTGGTACAAATTGCTATAACAATTACCGAGATACATATATGTAATTATAAGTGGGCGGTGCCACGCTCATTTTCCAAAATTTTATCATAAACGTCTTTCTTGGTAAAGAATTGTTGCAAGCATTAATTTTGAATAAATGTGCTTTAATATTTACTGATTTATCGAAGATTTTGTATTTTTCTAAATTACCGTTATATAGGATGTAGGCGTGGTTATCGTCCGATTTTAAAAATGGTCGGCCATTTGGTATGCTGTGCCAAGGCCAACAACTGTGCCAAGTTTGGAAGAAATTGGTGCAGCGGTTACCAAGATGTAGACATGTAACCATAAGTGGGCGTGGCTACGCCCATTTTCCAAAAATGTATAATATTCTTATTTTTCGTCTAAAAGTTATTGCAAATATCAATTTTGAGTGAATAATCTTCAGTAGTTACTAAAATATAGCAGTTTTCGTATTTCTGAAAATTACCGTTATATAGGAAGTGGTCGTGGTTACAGTCCGAATTCGCCCATTTTCAATACCAACCTACCTTGGATGAATGGAAACCTACGTACCAATATCTTAATTTTTGCTCGAGTTATCGTGTACACCGACGGACGGACAGACGGACGGACAGACAGACATGGCATAATCGACCTCTCTATTCATTCTGAGCATTTATGTATACATTTGTCTATATCTATCTCGATTCGTTTTGGCTGTTACAAACAACCGTTATGTGAACAAAATTAATATACCCTTGTGCACAAGTGCGCTCGGGTATAAAAATTAACTGAACACATAAGGAAATTTGTATGTACGATGTAAATATTTATTAGATATTTATAAAAAAATAAATATTATTTTCATATTGAATATTTTTACGCTGAAAATTTAGTAAGAAGTAGTAGATGAAAGACAGCTTTTTTATTTTCATGAAAGGTATGAAGGCTTCGGCATAGCCGAAGACAGCCCCTTTTTACTTGTTTCCTTATATCTCAGAAACCATTGAAATTATGTAATAATGTAAAGTTGTAAAACAATCAACACACATTGCTTATTCAACGGCTTAGTTCCTTCTAAACTAATAGTAACCTTAAACATAATAAAACAGCCTTAAATAACACATATGAACCCGCTTTCGATATCGGCAAAAAAATTTTCTGACTGAAAAGTTAACTTTGAGCTGTTGTACGCGGCAACTGGTAGTAGTTCGGAACCCAATGTTTATACTCGAGATTTGCTTCTTTGTTACTCTCGGCGTAAAACTGTAGGTCCCTCCCCTTTGTGTGACAACATCAAGGCGCACGTCACAAATCGGAGGAGAAGCTCGGCCAAAAAATAACATATGTGTAAGGCGCCAATCTGTTATTATGACTGCAGTCAAATTTTATATACTGTTATCTTCTGTTATCTCTTCTATTCTGTTTATCTTCTGTTATTGAGAGAAGGCATTTTGTTTTGTTTGAACTATCGGAGTGTGATTTTTTTGCATTTACTGCTCGCCGAAACGAAGTTGACACTTGTGCCTCATGCAGGTTAGCCAACTCATTTTTGATAATTTCCCGATTTCGACAATGAAATTCCCCGATTTTGTCCAAAATTTCATAAAATTCCCGCCCATAGATATCTCCTTATTTACAAAAAAAATTATGTCTTTTGATACATTGCTGGTCTTTCTGTTTATTTTATTTCATATGCATGTATTCATAAACCAAACCGAACGTTTATAAAGTTAGTTAACAAATAAAGAATAAAAAATGTACATATAATATTTACATGCATACAGTGGTCGAAAAAATTAAGTCCACCAAAATTTTGACCAGTTTTCACAATTATTATTTTTTGTTTGTTATTTTATTTGAGCCATTTTTTTAATATGGTTCATTCTTTAACAAAACCCACATAAATCCATTCTTCGAACTTTATGAATTATTTAAACCAAATTCAACAAACATTCGTACAAATTTCGCACTTTTTAATTAGATTTTCTAGAAAGATTCTTGAAAGTTTTGTAGCCCACTCAATTCCAGTATAATAACAAGTAATTTTTAGCAAAAAAAACCACCTTCTACTCTCATATAAAAAAAAAATATATATTTATATATGTCATGATCCACTGATCGGATCTCAACCAGATTTGTATGAGACACTACCTTTCCGATGCAAAAAGAATTATCGAAATCGGTTGACGTGGTCCAAAGTTATGCGGTAACATACAGAAAAAAAATATATATATATTCCGACAAACTGATAACCTCCTCCTTTTTTGGAAGTCGGTAAAAAAGTAAGTTGCAAGTGGCTAAAAATTTTCGTTTTAGAACTTTTTTACCGAAGGTGTTGGGGTTTTCTTCCATATAAAAATAAATTATTTAATCGGTATATGAATCAAATGTGACAAAGAAAATTGTAGAAAATCAACGGAAACTTGCATAATTTTCAGGGTTGCATAATCAGTACTTTTAGTTGCAGTTGCATTTCTTATGCAAATTTTTTAAGTCATTATGAAATTATTGAAGCAAAAAAAGAAGAAATTAGTCAACACCTAATTCCTCACAAAAAAAGTTCAACCCCCGATTTCCCACGTAAAATGAAATTCCCACAAAAAAACGTCCTTTCCCCGATTCCCCACGCAAACTGAAATTCCCCTCAAATAGGGAAATTCCCCACGAGTTAGCTTCCCTGGGTTAAAATTAAATTACAACGTGACGATTTTTACTGAGACGGCCCCATCCAAAGAATTTGCTACTGGCCTCAGATGGTATAGTTATGCCACTGTCATGCAGCGTTGCCATTTTAGTGCTCGTGGAGCTAGATTTAGCACTTTATTTTTCTATTTAGTTCCGAAAATTGGGTTTTAGCTCCTAGCACTTTTTTAGCTTCTGAAAGTTTTAGTTGTATTTGGTATATATAAGCCAAAACTTAAGCCTTGATAAAATGGAAAATTTCGAAATGCAATGTATCCCCCATAAACTCTTGGATCTAGGTTAAAGAATTCAAAAATTAATTAGAAGAAAATCCTTTTTCTGATAGCGCGGATTTTGTTTTACCTTACTAAATTTACCTTTATTCAATTAAAATATCTGAAATTACAGACTTTAACAGTTTGTAATGTATTTTTAGTTCACTGTTATAAGTGCTTTATTTTGGTTTTAAAACATTTTTTCAGCATTTAAACTTATAAAATTCGTTGTTTTTATTAAAATTGTCGAAAATGTAAAAACAACCTTACGTCAATAAATGCTCAACCTTAACAAAAATATATAGCTCTTCACTTTAGCTACTATTAGTATTATTTAGCTCTTTTTGGCTCTTTTTTCGACCGTTTTAGCTCCAAACGAAGTTTTTCTTTCGCAACACTGCTGTCAAGAATGATAGAATACAAGATTGCGCCAATCGAGCTGAGAGCAACCGGGCATGACGTCAAAAAATACCAGAATGAGGGAGCAAGACGAACTCGACAAGAAAAAGAGGAAGCATCGAACCAAAGGCAGTATTTCCAAGTTTTGAAGTTGAAAAGTACCAAATTTTTATTGGTGTATTTAATGTTGTTGCTTATGATTGTCACTGTGCCATGATTTTGTTTAAATTTTTGTAAAGTTGCTTACCAAACCAACGACTGCTATAAACTTTGCTAATTTTTTTTTTAAATTAAAAAATTTGGTGTCTTCAAACTAAAAACAAAAGCACCAAAAACGCACCGAGCATGAAATTCAAAAATTTTCGCGTTTTGAATACCCACTAAATTTGATGCGAAAAGCTCAAAGTTGGCAACTGAATG